TAAAAAATATTAAAAATTTATTTTATTTCAATACTAAGGGAAAATTGGTAAACAAAATTAACATTTTGTAACTCCTTCTCGATTCTTTTTCCGATTCAATCCCGTCTTCATCGCATGCATCCCTGAGAATCAGGCGAAGGTACTATTTCTCCATTTTCGAATATAGTGTTACCAAAAACATCAATCATCAGTATATTCAAGAAAAATGGTCGGCAATAATGGAGGTATGTCATATTTATTGATATGAACCCGTTTCATTGTCATTAACACGTTACATCCACTGAACAGACCCCCTACGTAATCCTGCAACGTGGTTGGCGACGAAACGAGTTCAACAATCATTAACCAATCGCATATGAACTCGTTTAATTGTCATGCTTCTGACTAAACGGATCCTCATCACACACAATGCAACATGGATCACCATGAAACTTGAACATGAATATGTTTCACCATCATGAAACGAGTGCATGAACATGTACAATATGAATAGAAGAAGCAAATAAACCATTTTATAATGAAACTTTCTCATATGAACATTAATTCCATAAAGAACAAAATATATTATGCACTCGTTTCATCATAATGAAACCTTTTCATTATGAAAAGTAATATACTATGCACCCGTTTCATCATAATGAAACCTTTTCATATGAACATTAATATATTATGCACCGGTTTCATCCTACCAATTAACAACGGATCAACTTCACACACAAAGAAACATGGATCACCATGAAAATTCAATCACAAATTTTATTAAAATGTAAAATATGCATAGACGTAGCAAATATACCATTGTACAATGAAACCTTTTCACATTGAAACAGTTTCATGACCATTGATTTTTTTTTCCTCCAACCTCAAACCAAGAATTCATTCCATAACAAGCTAGAATCTTCATAAAACTTTCTAGATTCATTGAACAACAAAAAAAATAAAATCAATTTTTAATATTATAATATAGTAAAATCTTTAAATCTTACCATTTATATAATTTCCATTATTAAATTTCCTTATTTAATATTCCTTAATAACTTCCTTATTTATCAAAAAAATAATGAAAATAACCGAAATACCCTTATTGATTAAATTTAATTAAAAAAGAATGAAATTTTTTTATTGGTCGATTATGGTTTACATGGTTTTCATTTGAACCTGCTCTTATATATGTATATATATATACACTGGGCAAACTTATTCAGAAAAATAATAAAATATTTTATATTATAAATATATATGATTGAATAAATATAAATATTTTTATAAGTAAAATATAAGAGCATCTTCAATAGCTTTTCTAAAATGGAGATTTTAGAGATTTTTCTCCAAAATGAATAAAATATGAGAGCGGATGAGTTGTATTAAATATTTTAATAAAGTAAATCAAAGTAGTTTTTTTTTAGACAAGACTTTTTATTTCTCCATTTTGTAAAATCTGATGAAGATGTTCTAAAACGTCTATATAATAACAAGTTTATGGTTTGATCCAAAATAGATGTTTATAAAATCGATTTTACGATAAAAAATATTTGGTTTTTGAATAAAAAATAAAAATCGATAAACTAATGAAAATATTTCTCGTTTAATTTTTCTTTTGACAGTTGTTAATCGCTGGAAAAAAAAAACAAATCCAAGCCTTTGTACATGATGACATGTTATGATTTCAAAAGCAAATGAAAAATTACAAGTTGGGTCCTTATATCATCCTCATTTTTAGAGTGAATTACATTTTTAGTCCTAGTAGTTTGGTGTTTTCAATAAATTAGTCCTTCGTTTTGAAAATTTACAAGTTGGGTCCTTATAATTACAACATTTTAACGAAAAGGGTCTCTAATTCAACCAGAGGCCCATGTCTGTTATTTATGCAGAAGCCAACTTGTTAAGAAACTACAAACAAATAAATGTTTTGTTATTTGTGTAAAATAGGGGTGAAATTTAATGAAAACACGAACCACAAGGACAAAACATAATTGAGTGTCCTTATCATTATTGTCTTATTTATATTATTATTGTTAATGCATTATATGGGCGATTCCTAATTCTTCATATTAGTTACCACTTTAGATCTCAACCATTGAAACAATCTTTACGAATTTAATATATTGTTGAGGTGACATCGTTGAAAATCAACATATCATATATGATATTAAAAACAAGTAGTTGTCTTATTCTAGAATATATTTTGTGTATAAACGAGAAAACATTCACACACAAATCTTCATTATCATGTGTATATTTGTAGACATAGAAAATAATTGAAAGAATTAATAAAATAATTAAGTATCATTGTATTTTCGGTAGTTGTTTATTTACTTTTATTTATTTAAGCTTTATTTTATATATACTAGAAGAGTACTCGTGTAATGCAGCGATACACATCTCGATTTTATGTTCTATTTTATTATTTGTCTCTGTCGATATTATAATAAGATTTTATATATTTTGAAGAAATCAATAATGATTTTATTTTTGAAAAAAATATAAATTTGAAGATATCATAAAAATTT